AGCGCAACAAAACTGGCTGTCTCTGGACTTCCAGGCGACTAAGAACAGTTGTTAGCGGAAGTGAAGGGCATATGAGAAGTCGCAAAAAATCATTCGATGATCGGAAAAGTTGTGAACTGGAAATTTTAAGCCTCACTACGCTGTCTAGGGGCCCCCATGCTGTTTCCGGGGGACCCATGCGCCCACTTGCAAGATTAATGCGATCGTTAAGGAGCATTCCACGTTGTCCTTTATTTCTTTGCATTTGCTCCGAGGGCCCTGCGCTATTGTTGGGTCCCTTCCTGTTAGCGTGCCGGGGCACTCTTGTCAATCACGGGCCCTTCCACGGATTCTTTCCATTCGCCAGAAAAGCTCTGTAAGCTACAGCTGGGGTCTCATATCTTAACCTGCCGGGATATTCTCGGTTGCTCAGTGGCCCTTTACGTGGGTCCCGGCTAACCTGCCGACACACTTGCAGTATGCTGGTGAGCCTTCCACATTGATCTAGGACGTTTCCAATTCTTTGTCACTTGCTTCCTAAGGGCCATACACTCTCGTTGGGGGCCCATCTGACGGCGTGCTCGGGCAGACTCAGTCGTTCGGGGACCCTCCACACTGGGTCTTGGGCACTTATTTCTAAATGGAGGGCCCTACGCTCTTGTGAGGGCCTATCTGATGACCTGCTCGGGCACATTCGATCGTTCGGGGCCCTCTACATTGGACGTTGGGCACGTGCTATTTAAATGGGACCCTACGCCCTACGCACTTGCAGGGGGACCCCTTCTGTTCGCCTCCTCGGCCACACTGGATTGCTCGGGGGGCCCTGCACATTGGTTCTTAGTGTTTGAATTTAGGGCCCTCTGCTCCTATCGGGGTCATCTGATGACCTGTTCGGATACACTCCATCTTTCGGGGGCTCTCCGCATCTGGTTTTGTGTGCCTCTTATTTGAATGGGGGGCCTCACGTTCCTGTTGGGGCCTCTTCTTATAAATCTGGTTTTGGACACGTCCTTTTCGAATGTAGGGCCCTCCGCCTTATCTGTCAACCTGCTCTGGGGCACTGGATTATTCGGGGCTCTCTACATCGTGTCGTGAGCATTTCATATTTGAGCGGAAAGCCCTACGCCCTTGCCGGGCCCCCATTTGTTAATCTGCTCGGGCCCGCTCAAATATCCGGTGGGCCCCACATTGTGTCTTGGGTACTTCTCATCTTAATGGAGCGCCCTAAGCACTTATCGGGACCCCATCTATTCACCGCTTCGGCCACACCGGACTGTTCGGGGGCCCTATATACTGGGTCTCGGTGTTTGAATTTAGGGCCCTACACCCCTGTCTGGGCCACCTGATAATCTGCTCGGGTGTACTCAATCTTTCAGGGGCCCTCCATACTGAGTTTTGGGTACTTCTTATTTGAATGGAGAGCCCTTCGCTCTTGTCGGGCCCCTTTTGATAAGCTGCTCAGGCACATTCCATCATTATGGGGCCATTTACATAGGGTCTTCGGTGCTTCTCATTCGAATGGAAGGCCCTGCACTCTTGTTGGTAGCTCTATTTGTTAACCTCCTCGGGCAAACTCGATCACTCGGGGGCCCCCTACATTGGGTCTTGGGTACTTCCCATTTGAATATAGGGCACTACGCTCTTAACGGGGGCCTTACATGTTGACCTGCTATGACGCACTGAATCATTCGGGGGTCCTCTGCATTAGATATTGAATACTTCCTATTTGAATGGAAGACCCTGTGCTCTTTTTGGGAACCTTATCTGTTAACCTGTTTGGGCACACTCGATCATTCGGGGGCCCTCTACATTGGGTCTTGGGTACTTCCCATCTGAATGGGGGCCCTACGCTCTTGACGGAGGCCCTATATGTTAACCTGCTCGGGCGCACTCTATCGTTCAGAGCCCCTATACATTGCGTTGTGAGTATGTCTTATTTGAATGAATGACCCTATTTTCTTGGCGAGCCGCGTCTATTCAGCTGCTCGAGCCGGCGGCGGATGCAGAGAGTCGGGGGTGGGAGGAGGGGGGGGGGGGGACACGAGACTATGCCCATGGACCATGCCGAGGTGACCTACAGGCTCCGAAGGGGTCTATAACCGGCCGGAAGGATGCAGTATTCTTACAACAAAAACACAACAAAATTAGATGCCTTTGAGCCCACAGACGACCAAGAACCACTGTTAGCAAATAAGCGAACAAAATTTATTCTTCGCTGATCGAAAAAGTGTTTGGGGAAATTGTGTGGCTCATAACGCTGTCTAGAGACATTACGCCGTTGTTGCCTGGCCTTATTTGTCCACTCGCCGGGTCGATCTGATCGCTAATGAGCTCTCCACGGTGCCCTTGATCTCTGCATTTTCCCATAGGGCCCAATGTGCTGTTGGGATGCTATTTGCCTCCATGCCTGAGCACTGTTCATCGATCAGGTTTTCCTCCACGGATTCTTCCCATTCGCCCGAAAGGCTCCATACACTTTTTTCCGGGCCCCATAGCCAGGGTACACTCAGCTGCTTAAGGGCTCTTCATAAAAGTCTCGGGTTTTTTTCGACTTGCTTGGAGGCCCTTGTGCTGTTGCTAGGGCTCCTATAAGGTAAGGCAGGGAGACAATCGAAGCCCAGGGACCCTCTATTTTGATTGAGGGCTCTCTCTTCCCTTTGGTCTCATTTGCGGAGGACTCTTCACTCCTACCGAGGCTAATCTTGTTAACCAGCCCGTGCACTCTTGATCGCACAGGGGTATTAATTTATTATCTTCGATAACTCCCATTTGCTCAAAGGGCCCTGCGCTATGGCCGGAGCCTATATGTCAGCCTGCCGAGGCACTAACCATTGTTTAGGGGCCACCACGTTGGTCTTGGGTCTCTTTCACTTGCTCTGAGGACCCTATAATTGTTGATGGGAGCCTCGTTGTTGGCGTCCCGCAGCACCCGTGATCGTTCCGGTTCCGTTCCTATCGGTCTTGGTGCCTTAGCCTTAGAGCAGCAGGCGGATATACGCCGATGAATATTTACGCGCAGTTGCCGACGTAATTTGACGTGCCGCCGACGTCGTATGTGTCATTTCCATTGGCTATTGATTGTGTTACACTTACAATACTAGTGCATCACGTTCTTAACATATTTTGAATGCTAGGATATGTTGTACTCCTTTATAGCAAAGGAAAGATTTTGCATTAGTCATCAGCCATCAGCTGATTACATCGCTCAGCCGGCTAGCCGTAAATACATAAATTAGGAATTAAGCCCATACTTCGTTTTGGTGCTTGTTAGCAGTCAACTCAATTCTATTTTGTCTGTTGTTCCGAAACGCTTAGCGTCGAAATCACAGCACTTGACGTGGCGTGTTGAAAATGAGTGAGTTTTAGGCGTATGCATGCGTAGCACGCGTAGCTTTACAAGGCTGTGCACGGTAAAATGGGTTTCCGTATTTATTATATAAATGAATAAGTAAATGCATATATATATATATATATATATATATATATATATATATATATATATATATATATATATATATATATATATGTGTGTGTGTGTGTGTGTGTGTGTGTGTGTGTGTGTGTGTGTGTGTATAGATATACCTATATGTACATATACGTATATGTATATATGTATATATATACATATATATATGTATGTATATATATATATATATATATATATATATATATATATATATATTATATATATATGTAGATCTACCTGTTGGCTTGAGGCTCCTAGGGCTCCTAGGCTCCTAGGCTCCTATTGGCTTGAGGGATGCGAAAAATTTGTCCGTGTTGTCACGCCCGAAAATCCCTCAACACGGCACCTCCGTGGCGGGGCGTGCCGCCCGAAATGATGCGGCCGCTCGTCACCGAGGTGCCGGTATGACTGGATGACGTGATGAACCGTAAGCGGTTCACTCCAGTCTGAACGCTTTCACCTGTCTTCAACACATCAGATACCTGAGCGTTTCATAAGTGCTATTTCCCGCGCTGTGTGCATTTGTGGTAATGATTCGGGCTTTGAAGTGCGACAACTTTTTCTCTTTTCTTAGAGCGCGCGCAAAACCTAATTAATTGGTGAAAATATGAGCGCGCAGTGTCGAATAACCAGCACGGTGTGTGAATAATTGATAAATATGGTTATAGTTAAATACGATGCCTACCAGCAATACCACCAGCTGACCCCTGGCACGCAAGAATCGCTGCCAATGATATCAGAAGTTTCAAGAAATGAGGTTTCTCGTCCAAAATAAGGAAACCGCTACTTTCGGTGAACTCCGATCCTGCGTGAACAACGCGGCACACAACGGCGCGTCACAACCGTGACGGTGAGGTCTGTCTCCGCCGCACAACAGGCCATGTGTGGCGCACGTGAGACCAATTGACATCCTGCAAGACTGCTTCTGTGTGAGATCCGTGGCCAGTGAGGAGCTTTGGCTTCATCACGTTTAGCTCGATGCCTACAGCACCTCAGCATCGTTTCTATATTGTGTTGCATTGCATCGCATCATATCAGGGGTAAGGCGTCGCTTCAGCACAGCGCCGCGTACGAACTCAAGAGTACAAATAAGCCCAACGTGCTGTGAACTAGACTGGTGCGAAGTCCATCGGAGCGGGACGAAGCCTCGGTCTACTGATCTGTAGCCGGCCAGCACGCTCAATTTCACAAAGTCATCTGCTTGCAGACATGAAAGAAGCATAGCGTGGGGACCACACCACCGCAAAAACTGAGGCCACGTAACGGCTAACCATGACAGTTTTGTCACCCCTGATGCAAACACGTGAAATCTATCTGATAAACAAGTCCCGACTAGCTTTCGACATATCTTGACCAGCCTCCAACTAGAGGTAATTTCTAGCAAAGTTGTTTTGGTGCTGCATTGATTTCACACCATGCAGTATGCTTTCGGCAGTATCGGCAGGATTTCACGTTGCGTGCTCGGTCTTTAGGTCATTGCACGCCGTATTGGCGTGATCGCTGTCATGCACGCCGACCGACCCTCCGCAACCGACTTCCAGCGAAACAACGGACCTCGTACGCCAATGCCGTGTATTCAGTCCCAAGTTTGAGAGCGGGGCACAGCTGGCCAAAATGCGCTCCTCCCGCGCTCCACCTTCCTGCGACAGTGGGCCAGCTGTGCGTACAACAGAAAATCGCGGCAGACGCCGGCTGGCCGGCACTTTGTCAGATAAATGAGATGGATCCGGCAGCGACGGCGGCCGGGCTGAGAGCGCGCCGCTGCCATGGGATGAGGCCACGGCGCTGCTGCCATGGGGAGCGGCGCGGCGACCGCTGTGGTGCGACGCGGCGGCCGCTAGTTCTTCCTGGTCTCCACCACCAGCGGGCGACCCTGGAAGGTCAAGCCGTCCATCTCCATGACGGCCTCGTCGGCCGCCATCCGGCTGGACACTGTCACGTAGGCGTACGTGCTGCGGACACAGACGGCAAGGGTGTCAAGGGTGGGCGGGGCACCAGTGGCCGGCCGACGAGACCCCACACGTGGGACGAACAGGGGACGTTGGACACGGCTCGCAGCCCATGCTCGGCATTGCCCCTGACTATGCCTGACAAGGCTTCGTTGCAGTACGTGATAGTTCGCATCCTGAGCAACACACCACTTCAGGGCGGGCAAGCACAGAGTCCAGCACAGGCGCGTAGCCGCAGCCTTGGCGAGGGAAGGGCACTGGGTTGACAAGGGCTCTTTGATACTGGACGGCCCACAAAAAGGCCGGAAACGGTCACTTCTTAACTAAAGAATGTTCTCTTCCGATATCTAATTTTTTCTCTATTTACGGAAAGGAAGCCAGAAGCTCCCGCAATGCCACCTGTCTTTTACTGTCGATACACCGAAGAACTGCTTTAAATATAACCAACTGTTTTGCACGACTGCGCGAAATAAATCGACAGCGCTCTTCACCTCACAACGTTCTGGTGGACTCTTTATAATCCGATTGAGCTCAAAAGCTCAGTTACCACACCGGTACCCGTCAACTGCATACTGCGCGCCTGAGCCCGGCGGCTGCCGTGGCGGCGGCCGGGGAGAGGCGGCCGGGGAGAGGCGGCCGCTCGATCGGCCGCCGTGGACGGGCGCGGAACTCCGGCTCAGTGCCGACCACTCACAAGTCGTCCGGATGCTGGCTCGAATTGTTCACCATGATGCGCACGTTCAGCGGCTCGAACTTGCGGAACATGGCAAACAGGTCGTGCTCGTTGGTGCCCACCGGGAAGTTGGCCACCACCACGTCCATGGGCGCGTGCAGGCGACTCTTGATGCGGTCCGAGATGGCGCCCGTCGTGCGGCCGGCCGGCGTCACTGGCCGCAGTCAAACCACGATACGTCACCACCCGAGGCGACGCGGCCGACGCGGCGACGACTGGGGTCAACCACGACACGTCACCACACCAAGGCGACGACTGGGGTCAATCACGACACGTCACCACACCGAGGCGACGACTGGGGTCAACCACGACACGTCACCACACCGAGGCGACGACTGGGTCAATCACGAACGTCACCACACGAGGCGACGAACGACTGGGGTCAACCACGACACGTCACCACACCGCGGCGACGACCGGGGTCACCACGACACGTCAACCACACCGAGGCGACGACTGGGTTCAACACGACACGTCACCACACCGAGGCGACGACTGGGGTCAACCACGACACGTCACCACACCGAGGCGACGACTGGGGTCAACCACGACACGTCACCACACCAGGCGACGACACGTCACACACCGAGGCGACGACTGGGGTCAACCACGACACGTCCACCACACCGAGGCGTACGCGGTGGACGCGGCGACGACTGGGGGTCGCAGCCGCACGCCAGTGTCGCAGGCCATCGAGACACGCACGCACCAAGCACACGTACGTCAGCGCAGCACTGCAACCGGCGGCATGACCTGGTGACCAAAACGTAAACAGCTCTCGGAAGCACGTACAGCCAGAGGCAGCACATACAGCGAACATTAATGACATGACACAACCATTGAGTAAGTTGACTTAGAGAGAATATCGAGAAAAACACACAACATAAACATAGAGAAAAACATAGCCAGTGGTGTTAATCCCACTTGAACCACGAAGAGCTGGAGGGAGCTGTGGACCCACCAGCAACCCAGCGCGGCGCGAGGCGGACAATGGGACTCACCATGCGCCGCGCCCCATCGGCGCCAGAGCGACCGTACGACTGAGGCCGGCCAGCGGCGGCGGGCCCGACAGCAGGTCAGCCCCGTCTCCGCGCCCGCCAGGAACTCGGCCCGCTCGCCGTCGTCGAACCGGCCGCGCTTGACGAACGGCTCGTCAAAGTCGCCCTCCAGCTCAGCCCTGTCGGCGGCCGGGCGTCAGCGAGGCGGCCGCGAACGCGCGGGACATGCGGCCCACCAGTGTCGCGGCGGCTGGGGATGCTCGGAGACGTGTGTGGCGGGCATGAGGTGACTTCAGCGGTAACTCCGCTCTGATGCTGTGTCACATGGGATGACACAGGCCGGCACTGGGCTCGCTACCTCGCATCGAGCGGGCTGCGGCAGACACGCGGTGGAACAGTCATCTGTACACCGGGAACGGACGGCGACGATGGCCGACCGCTTCCCTCGCGCCCGCTCACCGCTGGCTGAAGCTGCGCCGTGCGCCGGGACCGACCGGGCGACCGCGCGGCCCGGCGGCACCCTGGAACGGACCTCTGGCGCCCCCAAATCGGCCATCGGCGCCATCAAACTGGCCGGCCGGCCCGTCCAGCTGGTGGTGCTGAGCGCCCTCGAAATGGGGTGGCGGTCCGTCGAAGTGGCCGGCCGCGCCGTCAAACTCGCCGCCGGCGCCGTTGGTGCGGCCGGCGCCCTGGAACAGCGCGGGCCCCGGACGAAACTGGCCGCCGGCCGGCCCGCGGAAGCCGCCGCGCAGGAAGCCACCGGCGCCGCGGCCGGCCGCATACCGGCCGTCCAGCGACGGCGTGCGGCGGCATCGGTTCAGGGCCGGGCATCACCAGCGGCGGGATGCGGGCTGTGGCCGCGGCGGCGGGCGCGGGTCGCGGGAAGGGCGGGCCGCCGGCGCCGGCGCCACGGCCGCCCCTGCCAGCCGGCGCCGCCCAGCCGCTGGCGCACGCCGGTCGGCGCCGGGCGCGGCACCGGCTTCTGCTCCTGTGGCTGCGCTGCCGGCTCCTGCTTGGCTGCGGGCGGGAGACGGGCGATTAGAGCGGCGGTTCCGGCGCCAGGGTCGGCCGGCCGGCCGGTGGCTGATGCGACCCCTGAGTGGGGTGAGACACGTGCGCATGACGTATCACGGCGGCAGCCAAATGGGCGGCGACCACAATCACCGAGCTCGCTTCAAGGTTGGCGAGCTATTTTTTGGCCAAAAAAAAAACGGTATTTTAGGCGGACATTCAAGCCTTTGTTAAATTATTGACCAGGACCAGTGCAGAACCAGTGTTTACTCCAAATCCACGACTGCAATGACCTAAACTTGGCTTGGCTGGTTTGGGATCCAACAGAATACAATCGTTTCCCTGCGCGATCAACGGCTGCAAGACAGAACAAACTACCCTGTAAGAGGGGACATTGCGAATAAAGCGTCTCAGTTCCAGACGACAGCTAGGCGAATCAGATAACCACGAACCTGTCAACCCATTGGACTGATTCCACCAGTAAAATATGCCCATGTATCGTAACGCCCTGATTCCCGACGAGTTACTACTGCCACGTGGGCTGTCAATGACATCACGTATTGGGTCGAATGTTACACCCTCTCGAAATTTCGTCTAAACTACACGTCCGTTATCATCCTGCCCGTGTGCGACTACGCAACCAACAGTGCCACAGACGACTCAGTGCACCTGCAGTGGGTACATTAGGGCGTTCGTTACAGCCTAGATGCGTTCTTACCGACTTTTCACAGACGCGACTTACAATTCCAGGTCAGGCTGGCTCATATACGGTCCAACGGGTTCGTCCTGGACATGTGTATCCACCTGACTGATTGGACACTGACGTGTGATATGGAAGCTACACAGAAGTATGGGTATTATGCAAAAGTATCCGAGCATAAATGTACAGGGCATATCAACTCCACCTCCAGAATCAAGCCAAGCCACATGAGTAAATGTTGCTAAGTTCTTTTGAAAAACTGCGCGATCCAAGGGAAAATCTATAGCATAGACAGACATCCTAGCGCCTCTAACACTACAGGCTGGCTCAGGGCGGATTTGTGGCGGGCGAGTCAGGGAGTATCGCAGCTTTCTCGGAAGCTAGTTTGCAGTTTTTAAGACGTTTGTTATTTCGGTGTTTTCGTTTGTCCAGTTCATGTATCCAAACCATCCAGCAACCCTACTGCGTTAAAATACACCATTCAAGAATACTAGCATAAACAAGCTTCTTACGTGCGTTCATATTCAAAATCAACTATGAGTCAGGAATACATACGCTCGGCTCATTCATGCGTAAACGCTTACGTCAGCGACAATCGTGAACACGTGACTGAAAATAAAAACAAAGAAATAACTTTGAGAAAAAAACAACAGGAAGCTAGGCCTGAGATCCGGGGCCGGCTGGTATGCCGCCTGCCTGGCGCGTCTGGTACGCCGGGCGGACGGAGCCGGCAGTGTTCACGCCAGGGAGCAGCAGGTGGATGGGGCGCTGGCCCGCCGGCCGGCCGCCGCTTACCGAGGCTGTTGCGTGAATCCTTGACCACGATCTGCCGTCCGGCCACCTTGCCGCCGTCGAGCAGCTCGATGGCTCGGCGCACGTCCTCGGCGCTGGAGACCACCACGAACGCATAGCTGCCGCCGCACAGGGTCCATCGGGTCAGCACGGGTCACGGCCGTCCGACACAATGCGGGCACACCGTCTGCCAGCTGCTACAGCGTCGGCACGACCGGCCACCGCGGGCTGAGGTCACCAGCATTAGTCTGTCCAGGCAACGCACGCCGCACCACCCGTTCGCGTGTCACACGGACATATCACACCCGGCACGAGTTGCACTAGGGCACGAGTGCTCCGGTGCTCGGTGGCCCCGCGCGGGGGTGGGGCCGGCCGGGCACAGATGACCCAGGCTGACGCGCCTGGCCCGCAGTCTCGGCTGCACTCACCACTTCAACTCCTTCTTGTAGAGGCGCACGTCCACCGCATCGACGTTGTACTTGGCGCACAGCTGGAACACGTCGTCGCGCTCGAGGTCGTGCGGCCAGTTGCCGATGAAAACCTCGTGGTGGCCGTGCCGGGTGCCGGTGGGCGGCGCCGCGGCCGGCGCCGGCGGCCGCACCGGCGAGAGCTCCGGCACCGGCTCGGCGCGCACCAGCGGCGATACGCCCGCCTGGCTGGCCGGCGGGAGCCGGTCCTGCACGTACTTCACGTAGTTGACGTCACAGAGGTGCGGCGAGGAGCGAAGGCCCGTGATGGCGCGCACCGCCTCCTCCGGGTTGAAGAAACGCACAAACGTCCAGCTGCGCTTGAGACCGTCGCACGAGCCGCGCACGGAGCGCGTGCGGCCGTACTGCGACAGCGCCTCCAAGATCTCATCGCGCGTCAGCGCATACACGTTTTTGAAGCCGACGCAGTAGAGGCCGTCCTCGCCGGCCTGAATCTCATCCTCCATGGTGCGCTCCTACCGCCGAGAAAGAGAAAGCGGCCGCCGGCCGTCAGTCGCCAGCCCCGAAACGCAGTCTGCAACGCAAGCGAGCACCCCGCGGCTGGCAGCCCGAAACAAAGCAAGCAACGCCGAGCCCCGCCACGCAACGCAACGGCCGCTCTGCAAAGAGGCGCATCTCGCATGTGGTGGCGGCTAGCTGGTGGCAAACACTTCTGAGTCAGCGGGTTACATTAGAAACGGCTTGGTATCGCAAGGAACGCGGCAACCGCCTGCCTGCCTACTGCAACGCCGATCTCTGAAAACACAAAAGCAAGCTTAGCGAATGTACCCCAAGTACAGGCGATCGTGAAAAACCGGGCCCAGCGCAGACGCAACAATAGACGACCAAAATGCCTGCACGTGACGGACGGATGTCAATGGGGGAGGAGACAGATATTGCAGCAAGAAACTTTTTCAGAAAGGAACGTATTTCGCAAAGCAGACCCGTCATGCCTGCTGCTGGCAAGCAAAGTTTTAACTGATCCGTCCAGTTGTTGCACACAAGCAGCGAACAACGGCAGTGGCGATTCTCCGGTGGTTCCCTCGGCAAGTCAACTCAGCTCTGACCTGAGCGTCAGCGTGGGGATCCTGCAACAAACTGGTAACCAACAATTGGCCCCGCCGGAACAAAACGAACGCGTCCCACCGACACCACCGCTTGGTGGTGGCGGCGACATTTGTCATCACTGGTCAACACCCAGGGCCCTTGCAAATACCAATGCCATATCGACAGCAAGTTTTCGTATGAGCTCCCGCGCAACTTTTGTCGCAAATTTGCTAATCTGAACTGAGAAGCTTAATTTCAAACAACCTGTCACACGAATGCACCGCCGCGATCAGCGACAATGCATCGCAGAGGGCGCGGTGCAAGCCAGGTGCAAGCAACGACAGTGTTGGGGAAATGGGGGGCAACGACAACGTGCAATACATTTTTACGATAGCTAACGGAGTACAGAAATACTGGCAGGCACAAAAGTCGACAAATGCTGTATTGCTGCCTCAAAGTTATTTGTAAAACGTGACTGGACCTCTTCAGAGGTGGGAACGCATCCCGTTTAACTTAAATCACGCCGGCCAAAAAGAAGCCAGCATCACTGACCGATCATGCCAGAAAAACTATTGTCTGCCATAGCGCCACGGAGCCAAGTTATCCACTCACAACCATGTAATATTGAATGATTCCTGGAATCGTGGAATCCGGCCATTTCCAACGGGAGGGCGATCAGCAAAGGGTGGTAGGCGGCCGACACGGCGCTTGCCAAACCAGCCTGGCAAGTTGCGGGATCCCCACATCACCCGGTCAATCCTCGCGACGAGTAACAGGGCCTCACGCCGTTCGGCCCATCAGCGCGGCGGGTTGCGGGGTCTCAAATCACCTCGTCCATAAGCGCAAGGAGTTACGGGGTCCTCACACCACTCGGCCAACCACCGCGACGGGCCCCACACCGGTTGGCCAATCAGCCCGACGAGTTACTGGGCCTTACGCCGTGCAGCCAAGCAGTGCGGCGAGATACGAGGGCCCCGCATCGCTCGGTCAATCAGCGCAGCGAGTTGCGGGGTCAGACATCGCTCGGCCAATCAGCGCGGCGAGTTAAGGTACCACACACCGCTCGGCCAGCCACCTGCAGACGCGCCCAAAACGGGCCAAACCATCGTTCAGCGTATGCCATAACGATAGAGCGACTCTGAGGCTTAGCTTAACGGCCAAAACGAAAACGGTAGGCTCGAGCTCGGTACCACTTCCATGCCTCTTTCTGTCGAGTTCCGGACGATGTGCTAGCGACTTCTGTGCGACGGCTTCCACGCTGACGCCAAGACGTCTCCAGGACATTGATCAGCCCTTCGCAGAAGTGATAGTGCGACCATGTAGCAGCACATCGCAGTTGTATCTGCTAAACACATTTCGGGACTCATACCGTTCCATTAGGACCGCGCTTGGTGTCAAGAACGGGGCCCAAATGAACTCAACAGCAATGGGCAACGCGACCAGCAAAAGGGAGTGAAAATAAAAGCAAATTCTTTGTTTCTGATACGCATCGACGGCAAACACACGAGGCACATCTGGCACATCTGGCTAACATGTAACGCGCCTCTTACGCATCGCTCCAGCTCGCTGACAAGTTGGAACGGGCAGCGATGGATGCCTTCTTGTGACAATCTGATTACATAATCGGGGTTAATCCTCATCACATTGACCACGGGCAGCAGAGGGGCGGGGGGGGGATACGACCCATCCCGTTTGTAGTGAATATCTCCGGAGTGAATGTTGTACGTGTTTTGTTCTTCGCGTGCAAATGAAACCCTAGCGCACCGTTTAAAGCAAATAGAAAGAAAATCGAACGATAAATTGTGAAGTTACACACAGGCTAACAAAGTCTACAACGCAACCAGCGTCCGCGCGTGAGGATCGGTGTGATGCGCCCCCGGCATATCTGCACCAATGGAATGTTTTCGAAAGCACTGGCGACTTCTTGGTAATGCAAGGGTCATATTGGGTCACCGAGGTCAACTCCCGTCAAGTTCATAACAGGTTAATGGGGTCAACCCAGGCCAACATCATGCTTGTCACAAGCACAAATACTGATGTACGAATCATGTCATTTTACTAAGTCGTTTCTAGACGTACGGACAACTCGTGTCTTTGCTCTAACGAAGCACAGCGTTTGTAAATTGCATGAATTACTGAGGGCGCGCCTGGGCTGTGTCTTCGGCGAGGCGGTTGCGCAGTCGGGTGGCGGCCGGTTCGTTAGCACCCAGCCTTCTTGTTTGCTCCCGTTCAACACGCCTCGATGGCCGTGACGGGAGGCGAAGAGGCGGTGGCGTGGGAGGCGAGCTGGCATGTTACGGTTCATACACTCTGTAGGTGCCGACATGGGGCGCAGATAAAAGAAAAACCAAGACGTTCATGATTTCCCTGCCCTTGATATGATTATGGCGCGTTTGCGACAGATGCTTAAAATGGATAAGGTAGGCGGGCAGGGTGGGTAAAAGGATGGGTAAAGGTGGGTAGAAAAAGGTGAGCAAAACGTTTTGAGTTTGCCATACGCTATTGTGCAGTCCTGCTAGCGGCTTTGCTTGAGTATTTGGAGGCTAGTGGTAGCTGCCGCTGCAGGAAACCTTATCGCTGGCAAGGATGGCTGGAAGGTAGGTAAAAATTAATTTGTTAATCATGTGTCAATTTTGTGATGCACCGCTCCGTCCCCACCACTTTTTAGGGCCGTGAATGCATACTATGAAGTGCGGCTTTGCATGAGGATGGGTGTGGCTTTACATGAGGATGGTAAGTCCATAAAGCAAAACTTCACTGGATAGCACTCAGTTGTTCTCACCTCACGCATGTGTATCACTTGGGTGTTTGACAAACGTCATTTTGTGAACTGGATTGTCGACCTTAAATTGTTGTGTTCAAGGATTAGACTAAATGAGCACGTCGGTACGGCACTGCTATAATTTGACTGTCTGCCGATGAATTTGGTATATGTTGTGGGCCATTTAGCCCTGAGTTTCGGAGGTGAAAAAACCTGCTCACTTCACTACCAGGGTGGGAGACAGAAAATATCAGGATCAAACTGCCCAGGAGCCACCCGCACAGACTGCAACTGTTTTCCTGCTAAGCCAGTTTTCCATTTTTCAACGATAAAACAATTTTGCTGTGGAGTTATAGACGACAACAATAGCACCATACACGACGACGTTGAATTTAGCATTGGTTTCCTGATCAGTAAGGAGACAGACACTAGTGGCCAGAAGGTATCACCCGGCGAGACAGGGCTAATTTCTGTAAGGGTCTGTCTTGCACAAGTTTCGGAGCGATTTTAACCTTTACCGCCTGTCTCCCTGAGCAGTCCTTTTTTCAGCGCCATTCGCCGCGTTACATATCTGGCGCGTGTTGGTGCTTAGTCGGCGTCGCGATCTGTTGTGTCGGGAGCGTTCACTACGTGCATACTGGTTACGCGTAGTTTTGGGTGTTTTAACAAATATATATCGCACTTTTCGATTAGCTGGGGATATTTGTGTTTGTCTCTTTATAGCCTCGGGCCTTCTGCGTTGAAGCTTTGCCTGTATGTCCAGTCGCCAGGCATAGGTAACCATCCATCACGTATGAAAGCGCGCTGTGGGTACGTGAACTGTGATTTTAATGGGGAAAGAAGAAACTTGAAGAGGCACATGAACACTAAGCACAAAGGGTTGCCAATTGTCCTTAAAAATTCAAGTTTTGGTGCAGGTGGAAGGTGGGAATCTTGGCTCCAAGGTGAGAGCTTAAATTGAGTACGTGAGTATGAGTGCCCATTCGGCACGGTACCCAATGTTTAATATTTACCCAAGGTAGATAGGCCTGAGCAAACATACCTACATGCCCATAAAACACAGTGAATGAAATAATCTGGAATCACTGATTAGGTGGCAGAGGACACAGTGTAACAAATCATGACTGCCTAGTTTGTATGGGCAGTTTAGTGCATAGTTATCTTCAGCTTGGTGTGGTTACCACCATTGACTAAAATTAGACTGCATCATATAAAACAAAGAACAAATGTGGGAGAGACAAGTTCAACCCCGAAAATGAGCAGAATTAGTTGTTTTTGATGAATCAGCTTATTCTTCAGCTTATTGCGCCGACAAACGCGCCCGAAAATGACAATTGCCAAGCAGCCGAATTTCTGCACAAAATTGATACACCACCGGTGACTTCTGAACTTGGCTCGAAACGAATTATCCCTTTGCGATTCGATCTCCCTCGGACTCAAGCGAACTGCAATCCACAGGTCCGTCCTATGGTGGCGTTTTGTGTCGCCCTGGTCCGCAACTTGAAGGCAAGGAGAGAGGGAGTTGGCGCGGATGGTGGAAGAAAAGGAGCAGCAAACAAGACGCTCTTGGACAACATGCTCTATGTCCGGTCGGTTGGTGACCTAAAGGGTTTCCAGACCTCAAAAAAATCAGTCGACGCCCAGGTGAGCACAGTCTCCGAAGCCATC